ATTAAAAATATTATAAACAGTTTGCATAGTTATTTTACATAGTTCAAGTTCATAGATAATTTGGTATTTATTATAAAAAGCTTGTTAAGTAAGAATTACGTATTATCTTCAAAATGCAAGATATTTTGTAAAGATAATTTTCACGGAGATAGGTCTACGCAAGTCCACACTAAATTGATTTCCTGATAGACTATATATATTTATCCATCCAAAGGCTAACCTTTCGGAAATTTTCAGAATTAGTTAGTATTAGTATTAGTAAATAATTAAAAAATAAATGATCCACTTTTTAAATAATAATTGCAAATTTCATATTGCATTCTCAATTTTAAACTTGTTGTCAATTAACGAATTTTTTTATTAAGTAAACAGGGACTGAAGTTTTCACCATGTATAGCCCCAAGATATTGATTTATATTATTATTATGCAAAAAAATAAATTTTGGTCGGAACCCGGTTTTTTGCTGAAAACTCCCATATGTAAGCATTTCAAAATGATGATTTCAAAATTGTTAATAAAAAATGGGGGTTTTGAAGAAAACCCCCAATTTTAAAGGTTATAATAGACAGAATGTCCATTATAATGTCTTAAAAAATACTGTTAAAAATTTTCGGTGGAATTACAATCTCTCAAATTCCAATTGGAATTTTTTTTGACATTCTGGAAATTAATAAATTTGTACTGCGACAAGATGAATTAAACAATTTAACAGCTCAATCAGTTAAATCGACTTGGTTGGAGCCAATCTCTAGTTTTTTGAATTGACAAACCAACAATTATATATATTAATATGTATATTCTACAAAATTCCTTTGGTTTTGTCAATAATTAATAATTCATGCAAATTATGCGGGTATTGTGGTTACTGTTTTTCGGGTTAAATAATAAAATGCATCACCCAAGTAATAATAATAATACCAGGACCATGCAAAAAAAGAAACATTTTTAAGTATATAACTAAATTTGAAAAAGTCAAATAAAAATCAATTTCTGAAAAATAAATGAATGAACAATAATAACATTAAATCTAACATATTGAGCTTGGGTATCAGATTTAATAAGATTTCCCTTTTACGAACAAGTAAGCGCTTTCTTCTATAGAATTTATCCAATTGTGAAGAACTACCGACAAGATAGAGGCTTCAAACAAGCGAGAGACTTTAACAGCTTCTTTGATAACAATGTAATTTAATAAAATCCAGAGCCAACGAAACCCTCTGAAATTTGATTGCACTGGCATATACTTAGATTTTCAGGTTATATTAGCCTTTGTATATATAAGAGATATGAGAATTTTAAATATTTGAGCCCAAATAATTTCTAATATCTATAAATTCCCAAGATCAAACATTACACATCAAAAAAATAAAAAAAACATGTTATCAATATTATCAATCAATAAAATATCTTTCCAGGACCCTCCCTACCAAGTAATAATTCTAATAAAATCAATCAATTATGAAGTAAAAATACGAATACATATTTCTTCCTTGACTTAGATTATTCATCTAAAATTAAAATAGTGCAAAAAAAAAAAATAGATAAAAAAAATTTGACTCATTCTGCTGTCATATCCAGTGTTGTTAAATTATCGGAAGACTGGAAGACTGGAACAAAGACCCTCCCAAAATTACAAAGATCGCCTACTATTCTAACAGCACTAGTATTTTAAAGAACCGGGTTTTCCCGGTTTATTTTGATAACAAGTTCAATTATTATTATTGTTATTATAGCACCAGATTCAAACCGGATTTTTTTTATTATATTAATATATTTAGGTTATCTTGCATGTAAAAATAGGATCTCGGAATAATATGCCAACATACTAACAGATCCTATAAACACTATAATAAGTTCAAATGTTCGTATTTAATATTAAAAATATGGGATATTCGCAATTGTTAAAGGACAGGTTCCAATCATGCTATTTTGAGGCCCTTATAAACACAATTTTGAATATATGGAGCTTTTATTTCATTTAAATCCTGGTCTTAGAAGGAATCTCGATTTGGTCAATAAAAGATGGCTTATCTGAATGGAATACCTTTTCACCAAAAATATTAAGAAAGCTTTAAAGGATCAAGTTTTTACGAAACCAAATCCCAACCATCTCTGAATCTATTATATCTAAATTTGAATGGACTATTCCAGTTGTCAAGTAAAGGTAAGATTGTTTGTTTTTATAATTTCAGCGTTAAATCCAAATAGATGGTCCAAGGATGATATTGACAAAAAGAAAAATCGAATATGATGAAGATGATAATAAAAGTGAATTAGCCGAAACTCTTTTGGTTACAAGCTGATGCCTTGATTATTTAACAAAATAAGCTAACTAGAAATAAATCAAGAATTAGATCCCACTTTCTATGGTAAATTGTCCCTAAATTGTGTAATTCTTTTATAAGCCACACCACCTGTTTCCTTAATATTAAAACAGGTTGAAGCTGTTATAACAAATGATAGAGACTATACAAAATATTAAAATTCTAGAATCTATTATGTATTTCTATCATATTTTTATAATTATTAAATAAAGTATTTTGCTATTTTTAATGTTCTATTATATTAGGAAGTGAAACATATATAATCAGCCCGCCTAATAATTCAAGTTATTTTTGAATGTTACCTTTTGGTTTTTAAAATGGTCAAATTTTTATGTTGATTTTATTGTTTCTATCAAATACAATATTTATACAAATTTCAAGAAAAGATTTTACAATATACAAATCGTTATGAAAACAAGTTTACATTATTTAAATTTTAATCTACTGTATTTTTTTTTTGTAGGGTGAGTTTACATCAACCAATCAGCAATTACGACACAGTTTGCGGCTTGCGATGCGACTTGCAGCTTGCGACATTTGGTTTCAAAGAAATCAATGAAATCACCATTACTAACCATCTTTGAATTAGAAGTTGCCACCGAATAGATTAAATTAAAATATGGAACGAGAAAATATTTGGCGAGTTAACAAGTAATAAGATTAAAAACTTTCAACTACCCAGCACACCCTTGCTACCACTGCACAATAGCACCCATGGTTGCAAACTGGCCGATATTTGCGTCCAGTATCTTTAAGGTCTACACTCAAGAAAGTAGCCAACGCTGTTGAGTTTATGACTTTGTCCTATAAAAAAAATAATCCTGAATTTGCAACAGTGACAAAGCCCATTTTTCCTCTATAATCTTTCCACGATTTTACTATGAATATGATACATTTCTGAAGAAAACATGGAACTTCAAATCACAGATCAGTTTTTTTTACAGGGTTGGATTCAATGAAGTCATTCTTGAGTCATTATCCGCATTGAAATATCCGCCCTATATTGCTGACTAATTCTGGATATCGAGATTTTATAAAGCACATACTCTCATCCAGCCTCCCGGTGATTTGACTGATTAGTGTTTTTGCTTTGTACTTGACAAAATGGCCATGGTGCTTAAAGCTGTAAATATAGTGTTCATTGTACGATGCTTGTGGACTCGACATCCGAGCGCCTTCATAGTGCACACTTCTGGAGGTTCATCTGAAGTGGTTCTTATGGTATAGCAGCATTTCGTAAAAGCAAGAGAGGAAGGCATATTGGTTATCTTGCACGATTTCTTAGAAGCTTCTCCCTGTAAAAAAAATGACCCGTGATTTGAAATTCCATGATTTCTCCAGAAATGTATCATATTCATGGGAAAGATTACAGCGGTAAGATGAACTTTGTCACAGTTGCAGATTCGTATTCGTGGAAATTTTCAAGAGTATTTCTGGAATTAAAATTCAAATAACGGACTTTTTTTTTTTTATAGGGTCTATTCGAGAAATTTTCGGTATATTAAGAGCTCAAGTTGAAAAAACCAAACGTCATATCATGGATACAGTGGATACTAAAACGTATGGAGAGTCACTTCATCCCTCTATTGATTCTAGCATGATGATTTCTCATTTGTAGAAAAAACCTACAAACCTTTTGGTATATGATCAATTGGATTTAGATATTTAGGTGCATTATATGATCAAAATTAATTATTGAGATAAATGATAAGAAATGAGATTGTGAAGTAGATTGGATCTTTAAATATATTGTAATTGCAATTAATCTTGCTTATGATGCGAAATTTTTTTTTGAGGGATCAATTCCTTATTTATTTATTTTTTTTCATAATAATGAAATATGATCAAATAATTTATATTGATACAAGAACGGAACTATGGTGTTTACGCAACTTCTTTATTTGTATTTCTCTGGCCAAAATCACTGAAAATAAGGAATTTTGGCCGTACATAAAATTAAAAAATCATAATTGATCTATTGATTCTATTGAAACAGATAAACAATAAAATAAATAAATCTAATTCTAATTCACTAATTTTATTAAAAAAGATAGTAATAGATGAAGGTGAATTTGCAACTATATATAAAGCTACTTGGAAAAAGGTTATAGATTATAATAATAATAGATATTGTGGCAATTATTTGGATTATTTATAAATTATTTTTAATATTAATTTTAAAACTCTAATATTTGTGGACTCTAGCATTAAATAAACATTATTCAAATTTTTGCTCATAAACAACTTTGAGAATCTTGCTACTTCCTCTCTTTCAGCATTATTTTATTAAAAAAAAAAAAGGGAAAGAATCAATAATAAATGCATAAAAAAAAGACCTCATAACGTAACTGGCCACATCAAAATTATTTGGTAATTTCAAACCAGATTCGAAAAAGCATTTCAATATATGCCAATGAATTAGCAAATTTACCAGAGGAAATCCTCATCTAAATCAAGCTTGAAATGTTCCAGGACTCGCTGCTAGTGAACTTATTGAAGCCGTTGAAATGGGTATGACAAAAACAAAAAAGGCTATGGCAATTTACCGAATATATATATGTATGTATATATATATATATATAATATGTATTATTAATATTATTGAACATTTGTCCACAGTGTGTAGGCTTATCTCTTTCATACATTCCTGATTGAATGGTTTGCTTTCATCAGAATCAAACAGAATCATTGTTTCCTATAAGAAATGTCAATACGTCACACTCAAATATTAAACATTGTACCAATTCTCTGAGTGCTCGATACAAAAAGGATTCATATGAGAATGTCAATCGAGTAAAACTTTCAAGCCAAGATACTTACCCGATTGATTCTCGTGCTTCGGTGAATTCACGATTAGTTCTATGGGAAATTTCATTTAGAAATTTCTTATTAATAAATACATTATTGAAAAATGGTTTTTGTATGTTGAAAAAGTTTTTGTAAAATACAAGAATCTTGATAAATATCGATATTAATTTTTTACGAGTTGATTCTTGATTAATTAGATTAGCACTTTTGATTTCTTTTTTCTTTTTTTTACTAATAGTTACCAGAGTTGTTTCTCCTAGACTTAGAAATTGCATTAAGACCTTCTAATAAGTGGAGACGGAATCAAGGCTTCCCAACCAATAGAAGAGGAATTCTTTTTCCGGTTAGTTATCATCAATGTTAAGGGAACTCCTACACGCCTATTTACCTAATTCGAGCCTATCTATCAGGCCGAATTCCATTAAATTATATCCGCCGATTTCGCTTGAAAAATCAAAACATTATCATTCGTTGGATTGACAACCCTTTAAATAAGATGGGAGTTCTATCTATAAACAAAAAATCATCAGCCATTTTCCATGATAACAACAAAGTTCTGTTTGAGGATGTCGCTAAAACTTTTTTTAATTCGCTCAATGTTATCATATCAAAAAGATTTCTGAAAAAGTTTAGCTGTTTGAATGCTTTTTCTCCAGAGAAACTCATCAAGTTGAAATAGGCGTATTGCTTGAAAAAGGTTGCAATTGTTTCTCTTTGTATCATTTGTTCTAAAATAAATGACTATCAAGATGCTTTTCTCAATAGTTGAACAAAAGATTGTTGTTATTGTTGTTTGCTTAGGCTAAACTAACGTGAAACTAGATTTATAAAATACTTTGTGTATTTTTTAATATTAAATAAATAAATAAAATTATTGATAATCAATTTATAAACAAAAAAAATTATTGGTTAATTCGTGATTCGTGATAAAAGTAGATACTGCGCCACATTTGTTCTGAAATCCAGGGTTGCCAAGTAGCAATGTCAAAATTTTGTAAGAAAACAATAATAAAAAATGTTATTTAATATTCTGTGTAATATTTATCATGTGTGCCGGTAAAAACAATTTGGAAGTTGGTCAATTGTAACCATTTAATAGTCATTTTATTAATATAAAAATTAAAATATTTACAGAATTATTATAATGAAATATTATAGAGATGATTCTAATCTGATAAATTCATAGTATCATTATCGTCATCATTGTCATTGTTATCAATAATAATAATTTTTGAACCAATTTTTGTCTTTATTGATTCCTTTGTTAATGATGATGATGTTGTTAATTTTATTGTAGTCGCTAATTTTATATCATCATCATCTTTAATAATAGTAGCGTTGTTGTCGTTGTTATGATATGTTATTGATTCTTTTGTAAGATCATTAGAGGATTGGAGAAGTGATAAAGAAGACGGTGGTGGTGGTGGTGGTAATGATGGAGGCGGAGGAGGTAAAGGGGATTGTGGTAGTGGTGGTGGCGGTGGTAGTTTTAAAGAAAATGTTTGAAGTGATGGGGAAGATGAAGATGCTCCTGGAGGTGGTGGTTCTATTGAATTGTTATTATAATTATTATAATATGCACTGCTACTACTAGCATTGCCATTACCATTACCATAATAGTTATAATTATAATAATTGTAATAATCATGATATTGTAGATAATAATTATCGTAACTATTGTAATTGTAATAATTATAACCATAAGCATAATGGTTGTTATTGTTATTATAATCTTCACCACCACCACCACCACCACCACTACTAAATTTTCTTTTTCTTGACGTCGTTGACGATGATGTTAATTCTAAATTTAAGTCAGGATAGTAGACCAATTGTACTTTTCTTTCTTTTTTCTTTTTATAATCAACATCTAAATTATCATCGTTTGTAACAATAATTTCTTTATCTTTTTCTGTTGTAATGGATGAAGGTGATTCATATATTTCACCAGGTTCTAAATCATAATCATTTGGCGGAGTTTTGCCTTTTATTTCATCATCATTGTCATGATTTTGATTATTTCCTTTTTCTTGATTTTTATCATCGTCGTTATTCTTATCATCTTCCTTATCATCATAAATTTTTAATATTTTAGAACTCCAACTCTTCAATTGATCTTTTATTTTTTCTTTTCGTTCTTTTCTTTCTTTTAATGGATCTAAAAAAAAAATTTTTTTTACAATGTTGACATGTTAATAACCCACATGCAAGTATACCACACACATTATTTTATTTTTATTTTTTTCACAAATAAAGTTACCTTCACCAACTTCATATCCGAGGTAACCGGGTGGATAACCATATATTCTCATTCTTTCATAATACGGTGGTTCCATATTTGGAGCCAAAATACCCAAAGCATCTTTTAAAACATCAGATATTATACCAGGTTTAAATATACTGACTAATGACTCTTTTTCTTCTTCATCAAAATATCTACCATTACCATTATTACCATTACCATTATCATTATTATTAGCACTAGATAAATACAAATGACGACTTGATAATTTTTCTAATTCAAAATTTTCTTTATTTTCTTTTATTTTTTGATTATTTTTTGGTTCAGGGCATTTATTTAAACTGTGGTCTGGCGAATCACAATTAAAGCATTTCCTTACTTCCTTTTGTTTTTGTAATTGTAATTGCAATTGATGATTTTGTTGCTTTTGTAATGATAATAATAATTCGTTTTGATCAAATGTGGTTTTGGTATTTTCTAAACCAAATATATATTCTGTTGCTCTTTTGTAAATAGGATTTGGTGGCGATGGCGACGATGGACCAGCCTTAATATCAAAAATATATTTTGTTCCTTTATCCGTTGTCTTGATTATTATGTCATTATTGTCGTTAATATTTTTAATCGAATCATTATCTTTCACCACCACATTCACTTTATCCACCACGTCCACTTGTTCATTGTTAATGACAACAGTATTATTATGGTTATTTTGTTGTTTGTGTTGTTGTCGTTTTTTGTAGAGAAGTATAGATGAGGTGTAAGGTATAAAACTATTAGTAGTGGTGGTAGCAGTGGTAGTATTTGGTTGTAAATCTTGTAATGCCTTTTCTACAATTGTTTGATGTTTTTTAATATCATTTAAAGTTGACATTTTTTTAAAAAAATAAACATTTTATTTTATGGATTTAAGAAAATTTATTCCAAATTTAGAAATTATTGGTTTATTTATTTATTTATTATGGGTGTATTATAATATATATATATATTATATTATATATTTTATCTTAATTATTAATTATTATTTTTATATATAGTAAAATAAATATACATGTAAAAATGTAAAAATGTAAATATTTATATAATATATTAATGTTATCATGTATATTTACTGTTTTCTAACATTTTATAATTATGTTTTAATTTCATACGGATGATATATTAGTATCATTTTTTGCTTCTTCAAATTGTTTTTTATCTTTATGACTATGATTATCACTTTGAGTGCTACCACATTCTCCACATGATATTCCCATACACTGTTTATAAATAATAATAATAATTAGTAAGAATTTATCTTTTTAAATTTATAATATACCAAAAAATACATTTATTATTATTTCACCACTTACTTTTTTATAATCCATTTGCCTTAATGAAAATGTATAAAGAGCGGCTAGCAAACTGCCTGCAATAGTACCAATGTAATAGATCCAATGAGAGTCTCCATATTCACCTGTTACAACAGCTGTACCAAAAGTTCTTGCAGGATTTAAACTTGCACCGGTATATGGTCCTATGCAAATGGCAGAGATGAATAAAGATAAACCGATTGCAACTGGAGCGGTGAATTGGCCATGCTTTTGAACTGCAAGCATGTAAACGGACATTGTTAATACTGATGTGGCAAAAAGTTCAAGGAAGAAACCTTGTGCAGCTGAAACCCCTGGAGCCTATAAATATATCAATAATAATAATTAATATATTAGTACTTTTAATTTTTTTAGGAATATCAAACAACAACGCATTCATTCATTATATATGTGGTGATTTTTAAGTAATTACCAAAGTAGTAGCAGCACCGGCATCTCCAGGTTGGCATGAAGCAACTACGAAGGAACCTAATGCAGCGCCAGCAAATTGGGCTATGATATATAATATACCACGTACTAATGGCACATCTTCAGTGAGAACTAAAGCTATCGTAATTGCTGGGTTTAATACTAGATGTAAGGAATAGGAGGGTAAAATATATGAGTTTATGGAAGGATGAAAGAGAATTATTAATATGTTAAAAATCATTTAGAATATCAATTTACCTCCGCCGGATACAGATGCCCAGGCCCATACGCTCACTAAAAGTGAAAAACCGAAAGCAAATGGAATTCCAATAACAGCTCTATAATATATAAAGAGTATTGTATATGTAAGTGATATGTGAATTAGTAGTGTTTTTGGGAAATTTGGGAAAGAAGATAATTATTACATTAATTTATAAGTATATATATATAATACTTACACTGTTGGACCTAATGTTCCAACACTTACGGCACCGCCAGAACCTTTAAAAAATCAAAAGGAGTACGAATGAATAAACAAAGAAATAAAATTTAAAAGAAACGCGTAAAAGAAATGATAGTTTACCCATGAATAAAAAGTAAAAGGTTCCCAAGAATTCTGCAGCAGCAGCTAAGAAATCATGTCGATCAGATTTGAAATCGAATAAACGACCGAAATAAGCACTCGCTCTCTCGCCAAATGATTTATTATTGTTAACTTCCATAAATAAAATCAATTAAGAATATTTCGTGGAAATTTATTTTATGTTATTATTAAGAAAAAAAAAAAATTTTTTTTTAATTTGAAAAATAAAAAATTGACAGTCTATTTATAATGTTATTTGTTCTATATATTCACTTCAAAACTTAACAAGTTAATAATAATATAAAAAGTTAAAATAGGACCTTGCTCATTCTCGCATATCCACTTGCATATGTTATTTGTTCAACAAACAAAATAATCCTTAAAATATTAATTATATATATAAAACACTTGATTGGATTTGGAACAATTGAGTTATTTTAAAAATTATTACTAATATTGATGAAAATCGATTTAGTTTGGAAATTTGAATCGATCCCAATTAATTCATGTAATTCGCCACAATCAAAACTAAACAGTGTGTGACAAAACTGTGAATTCAGATTGTAATTCTATTTTTTTTTTTTTCTTTTTTTGAAATGAAAATTTTACGCGATGACACGAATCGTTTGATAAAATATTATCTAAAACTCTTGATCAATCAAATTAATTAAAAGAACTCGTGCAAATAATTAACATACATAATAAACAATGAAGCAAATAATTGTTTTTGTACAAACCAACAGATTCACGACAAAAATAATTTACAATGCTTGAATATTATTTATTTATTATTATTATTATTATTATTATTATTATTATTATTATTACTGTTACTGTTACTGTTTATTTATATATGATATTCGGAACTATTATCTATAGGATGAGGAGAAGGAAGAGGAAGAAGAAGATGATGATGATGATGATGATGATGATGAAGAAGAATCGATGGTTTTAATTATTAATAAAATAAATAAATAATTTAATTCGTGGAACCCGTATATTATCAGATCAAACCACTAAAATAAAGATGCAAGTGTATGAACACACGTCAATAATACGACATACGTTATGGTAAGGTGAACAATTGCTTATGATTGATGTAATTCTTGGATTGTTTGCGCTCTTAGTTTACGGTCGGCGCTCGATATAGTGAGGCTTCTTTGTATGGTACGATTATTTATATGACACAAAATAGGAAGTTCTCGCTCTTTGCTATTACTATGCTGTATTTAGTTTAACCCCAAATTTAATTTAATTTTTAATCTTTTAATTTTCTACATTTCTACCAAAACATTTAGTAGATCTTTTCGTTATGATTTTTTTTTTGGGAATAATAATATGCAGTGTATCTATATTTCTTATTCAGTGTACATTTTTAGACAACTTGTTATTCCTAAATTCACCCAATCATTTGATTTATTTTACCAATTCGTTTCGTCGCAGAATTCATTTTGTGTTCATGTGCTCGCTTTCAGCACTGAAAAAAATCTATTTTTAAATAATTTACTCTTCCAAAAGAAAACTTTTTTTTATAAATTTAGAAACAAATAAGGAGAGAAAAAAATGTTGATACTAATACGAATGTGAAAAGCGAAAAAAAAAAAAAAAATACAAAATTTAATAAGTATAAACTGAGTTATCTGATATGGTAAACAATAATCTAAAATGTTTGAACTAATGTAATTGACCAAGCCTAACGTTGTGCAAAGAACTACAAAGCGAAACGGCGGTAAGCATATTAAGACATATTAGTGATGAAAAGATAAAAATAAAATAATGGCAATTAATAAATGTGTATATTAATTCGCCCGAGCGGCGAGGAAAAAATTTTCAAAAAAAATTTCAGAAATACAAAGAATCAATTCATTTTTTCATATTCATAATAGGAAAAAACCCGGATTGCGCCCTTTTGATAATTAAAGCAATTCTATTAGAAAATACAAATACGGATAAGAGTAGATTGCCTAAATTCATTTTTTTTTTTTTTTTTCTGCATGAGAACTTTTTTTGTTTGTTATTAAAAGCCGTGATAGCCTTCGAAAAGTAACAATTATATACTGTAAATAAGAAAAACAAACAATTCAAATAATGATTGATATTACAATTATGTACATATTAATACACCCACATATACATATATAACACAGCACATCTTTGTTATCCTCCAAAAAAAGGACATACAATTAATTTTCGTGCAGCAAAATAATAATAAATTTTCAGAGAATAATAATGATATTGTAACGAAAGTCTGATTTTGGTAATACTAGATAAATTTGCCTTTTCCTTTACCATTGTGACAATAATTTCCTTCGTGGAGAGGCATTATCACCACCCGACGACAATCGACACACAAAGTTTTTTTTTTTGGCTTTTTTGAAATTAATTAATCCTTTTTTTTCTTTCTTTTTTCCTTCCTTTCAAAATATAAATTTAGTATATTATTGGGAAATATTTTTTTTCTATCTTTAGGAATGGTATGAAGTTTACTCCTATTTTTTTTTCATAATAAAGGCGTGACAAACATAAACTCGCACAAAACCTTGATATTTGTCAATTGATGTCGTGTCTTTCTTCTAAATTTAAAAAAAAAAATTTTTAAACTTCTCAGAAAACATCAATGCATACACCATTTTAATAGGTAAACTTTAAAATTTGTCGTAAAGTAAATATTTGATAATTTGGTAGCTTCCTATTACTTACCATTAATATTAATGAATGAAATTTCGTTTTATTGAACAACTAGTTATTGATTTTTGTTTTTTTGATTATTTTTTCTTATCGTAATGGAAAAACGTTTAATCATTGGGAATGAGAGAATTACGCCTTGCTCAATAATAATAATAATAATTACAAATAGTTTCGTCAATAATCAACAAATCATTCGCAAGCTATTGTAGCTTACTTGAATTCAATTTTTTACATGATAATTTTTTTCGTTTGAACTGTTTTTTTATACGCAATTTACAATATTAATATGCTTATTGACAAAACTTATTAATTGACTTCATTGTTTATTATGTATGTTAATTATTTGCACGAGTTCTTTAAATGACACTCATCATATACAAAAAAATCATCAACCAAATATAATACTCGGTAACAAAAACAGTCCGTCGTCATTGTCGTCGTCGTTGTCATTATCGCCGTCGCCGCCAACATCTTTATCAATACTTTTGAGTCATAATAATAATCATCAGCAGCAGCAACAACAACAACATCATCATAATCCACCACAACAACAATATCTTCCACCGCAACAAAATAATCAAGTTCGTCGTTCCTGTTCCAATACACCATATTATGATCGATCGAGTTTTGATCAAAATGCATTCATCTCAATTTCACGTCAACCATATCCAACTCCTTATGCCTCTCCCTCAAAACTACAACAAGCATCTTATGAACCAGGAATTCCTTCTTCTAATGCTGCTGCCAATAATAACAACAAGAAGATTAATATATTAGAAGAAAGTATGTCAATAACAACTAATAATGGTGGTAACAACAACAATAACAACAACAATGGCAATAGTAATAATAATATGGGAATTGGAGGAGGCACAACAACTGCTACTTTAAAAAGAACAAATAAAACTCATGTACCGAGCGCTTGCATAAATTGTAAAAGAGCTCATCTTGCTTGTGATGGTAATTATTATCATATTTTTTTTCCCAAATCGTTTTCATTAAATATCAGTTTGATGCAACTATTTTTATTATTATAGTTGCAAGACCATGTAAAAGATGTGTAGCATTAGGCAAGGTTGATTCTTGCATTGACATAAAACACAAGAAACGTGGTCGTCCAAAATTAAAAGATAAAAAACCTCATCCATATAGCACTCATCCAACTGCTGATGCAAGGTCTTGGACTGCTGCTTCATCCTCATCCACTTCCTCCACTTCCACTTCCACTTCCACTTCCGCTTCCACTTCCACTTCCGCAACATCTACTGCTGCTTACAATGCCTCTGGTTCTACATCTATCACTTCTGCTTACAATTCAAGTTCCACTTCCACTACTTACAATAACGACTACAACTACTACAACAGTAATAGTGTTAACTCCACTTCTAATTCAAATTTACAATATTATCCATCATCTACAACATCGGCAATGTATAAAGATAATAATCTATATCATCCATATCATAGTCAATACTATAATCGTCGACCATATAGTCATAATCATAATAATAATAATAATCATAATCATCATAATCATAATCATAATCATCATCATCATCAACGTTTTAAACCATCTCAATATTCTCATTCTTCTTCCACTTATTACAATAGCAATAACAATAACAATAACAATAACAATAATTCATCATCAACATTAAAAAATAATTACCATCAGAATAGTAATTCATCGCCATTTACTGCTAATAAATTTGAACCACGTCATATAATACAGCAACATTCTCAAGATCACATTGCAAGTAACAACATAATTCCTAATCATAATAATAATAATAATAGTAATGCACCAACAATATCAATCATATTAACCATTGATGAAGTTTCATGCGCAAAAGTTTCAGAGGATTCCTTGGCAACTTTGGGTTATTATCCTTTGGAATTGCTAAATAAATCACTTTTTGAACATGTTCTGGAACAAGATAAAGAAAAATTACAAAATCTAATTAAATCATTATTAGACAATGCTAATAGATATTATCATAATTCTAATAATGATGACAATCGCTATTATTACAATAATAATAATGATTATCATAATCCACAAGGTCATCATCATCATCATCATCATCAATTCAATAACAATTATTCACAAACAACACCAAAAATATCAGAATTTGTTAAAAGCGATGATGTATTCTTCTCTCAAGCTAAAGATCTTCATTGTCCTGCTCTCGGTGACACTATAATAGAGGTTGCTGACATGATTCATTTGAAACAAAGAAATTGCCAACATGATCTTTATAATGTCAGGATGTATCTTGGCGGTGGTTTGGGTGCTGAGTTGTTAAGAAAAGATACTTGGAATAAATTTTATGTCGTGGCTTCTTTCACTCGCGTAAAAAATGGCATTAATCATACCATTAATAGCAGTGGAGCCGATGTTAATAGTAATAATGTTAATAGTAATGCTAGTAATATTAATGGCAGTGACAGGCTTCCGCCATTTACATCATCACCAAATGGAATGAATATGAAATTCCTATTAAATTGAGAAAATTCTCCAAAATATTAACACAATATAAAAACATGTATTATAGGAAGGGTGTGTCAAGTACAACTAATTTTGGGAACATTTTTCAAAACAAAAATTTAAACACTTTTAAAATAAAATCCATCTCAAATATACATTATCAACACTCAATAAAAGAAAACCATTAATATATAATAAATTAAATATATTTATCAAATGTAAATCTAAAATAGAAACCATTAAACATATATTATTTGCTATATAACAATAGTAATGATATTTATAAATAACAATAATACAATACCTGAATCCAAAATCCTTGCATTTTTTTAGGAGGCAACCAATAGACCATGAAAAATAAAAAATAAACAAACAAATTAACACACTCTCATTCATAGAATAACATTATTTCAAATTCTTCAACATTCTTTATATAAAATAACTATTTATTTTTGATCAAAGTGTTCGCACAACTACTATTAAAATTAATTTTGCTATGAAAAACCATGTTGCTGGTGACATTATCACATAAGAATAAATTGATGGCCCAACAAGCCTCTAAAGTAATATTTGTTTGTTTTTGAAATCTCCTCTTCCATTTTAATTGAATTTTGCTAATTCTGTATCCAATAATTTAGTCGAGAACGTATTCGGCTTGGTGTATTATATGACTATCTTAATGACTTCAAAGCATTAACAAAATTCGATTTTCTACAACTGATAAGGAGATCATATAACATATAAAGGTTTTAATAAAAAGCATGGTCAATTTGTTTTTGTCTAAAATTGTTAGTTCGGTATCATCTTTTAATATACCTTCATCTCTTTTTGCTATTTTCTTAACCATTCCTGTTTAACTTTAAAAGACATAGTAGTTGCCTTACAATTTAATTCACAACAATATGAATTTCCGTTTGATTTACGGGTTACCACAATTAAAAGTTGTTTTACAAAAACTACATGTTGCTGGTACATGTCCACTTTTTCTCACTCTTCAAAATATTTTTATATTTCTCTTTTTCTGACGTTAGGTCTCCTTCTGTTCTCGATGGAAACACTTTGGAAGCTTAGTGTGCACTATTGGTCCCTGAAGTTGGCGGAGACAAAAGACCAGAACTAAGAGATTGGTTTATAATCATATAAAGAACGAAACTCAAATTTTCAATAGAGTTGAATTTATAGGAGTTTGATTATTATCTTGAATAAAAGATCGAAAAGTTGCCATGTCATGTTACTTTGTTATTATTAAAATTATGTTTAGTTTTTGGCGTGATTAGGTTGATTTCTTAATAATAGTAATTTCTTCTTGAGCGAGTGACAGAATGAGTGAGAGTGAAGAGAGCGAAGGGCAAGCAAGTCTTCTCGAGCGAGTGACAGAATGAGTGAGAGTGAAGAGAGCGAAGAGCAAGTCTTCTCGAGCGAGTGACAGAATGAGTGAGAGTGAAGAGAGCGAAGGGCAAGTCTTCTCGAGCGAGTGACAG